AAATCACATGCATCGTACAGTGCTGCTAACTGTGCATTGGCAGGGCGTCTGTCGGCGATCTGAATCTAGTCAGTTAAATCGCGGCACCTTCCTGTGCTGCCGCGAGGCGGCCAGGCGGTTGGTCCGTGACGGCCGTGGCCGAATCGTGACGTTCTCTTCGTCGGGAGTTGGGTCGCTGCGCCCTGGCTACTCGGCGTACGCGGCGAGCAAGGCGGCGGTGGAGGTGATGATGACCAAGATCCTAGCGCGCGAGCTGAGCGGCACGGGGATCACGGCCAACGTGGTGGCGCCAGGGTCCACGGGGACACCCATGATGTACACGGGTAAGACGGAGGATGTCATGGAGCGGTACATCGCCGAGGCGCCGCTGGGCCGGCTTGGCATGCCCGAGGACATCGCGCCGCTCGTCAGCTTCCTCACTAGTGATGCTGGCCACTGGTCAACGCCCAGGTCCTGCGCTGCAATGGTGGCACGCCATCTAGTAGATGTGGTGCATCTCCATGGCTACTGCTTCCTTTCTACCTTATTACAACTAGGAAAGGTGTCCATGCATTGCAACAAAGCATGTAGCTTCTGTGTGGTCACCACCTCACCAGTTGGCAAATTGATAATTTATTTAACAACCGAGTATCATTTTGTTCCAATATGCATGCTTTATTTATAATCAGATTCTATACTATTGTTATATATTTCTTGGAGTCAGCTCCGTATTGTCATTGCACGTGAGTTGTTCCAAGGTCTGGACCCCAAGACTAGTGCCCTCATGGCCAGGCACTATGTTTCACGGTCTTGGCGTGTCGGTGACTCGGTGGTACTCTAAGGTGACTCAGGGTTAAGAGTTGGGTGGTATCGTGTCAGTTAGGTGGTAGCCTGAAATCAGTCTAGGCGGGGCATCACTGATCATGGTGATCTTGTGGGTACTGGTGTACACATTTTACATAGTTGACTTGATCTATATGTATCGCTGTGTCCACAGTCATGGGCATTTTCTCTATATTTGCTTCACTTGACTAGAGAGAGAAATATTCTTTTCTTCTCCAGGTTGGTTAAGGATCCAGCCAGAATCCACTAAGGCAAGGACGAGTGGGAGTTCTCCTTGTTACCTAGAGAGCGTGATGGGTGAGACATGATTCTTGGAGGCGTCACGTGGGCATTATGAGATGGATGGGATGGATGTATGGATGTTGATTAGAGAAGATTTTGATGTTGAGTTGTGCTAAGGTTAAACCCACAACCACATAATAGAATCCTCTTCTTAGCGTTGCATTCAACATACCACATAACAAAGCAGTCATAGGGTGGGTACGTTGGCTAGTACAACCCATACTGAAATTCGTTGATACAAGTGAGGAGCCTGACTACAACTACGAGAAAGATGGTTGGCAGGACTAGCTGGTTTCGTTCTATGCTCAAGTTGCTTGTGGAGAATGGAGTCTTCTACCCTAGGGATATGCTACATTTCGCTTTGATGATGTTCTGTGTGTGCATGTGATTTCCGCTAGTGTGCCAATGTAATAATGGGTAAACACCATGTTTTGTAACCCTAAACAGGTATTTGTTATGTATCAGACTATGATATCAACTGGACAATGTGATTGTGATAGCATGATCCTCCTGGGACTATCACATTGTATTTATAATCTATGGATATATTTCCCTTCAAGGAAATCAAGGTTCGTTTTAGGCACAATTTGACCATGAGACAGATGTGTTCTGGGAGCTACTACTGGAAGACATGAAGAAGCTTTAGGAACATGAGGTCCAGATGCGCGATGCCAGGACGAGTACCGAAGGGAGACATTCACATCAAGAGTCATCATCTTTGTTATCATCAAATGATTACCTCGATTTGTTTTCACAGTCGAGCCAGATCAAATGAAAGAAAGAATGCGTCGTATATGCTTGGACGGGACATTCTTTGTTTACCTTGGCACATCTAAAAAGATGGTATACATGAGGCAATGACGATTTCTAGTTAAAGGGCACATGTACCAGTCCAGTCGATGGTGATATACCATAGGTTGGTGGGGATATATCTTGTCCAGATTTTTTTTCTCCTCTTCATTTATTGATTCCTTGTCCTCATGAGATCCGAGGTCTCATGTCACACCGACAATTTTCTCAATACTTTAGGGTCCCGGGTTCGAGTCGTGGTCTCCTCGTATTACACAGACGAGGATAAAGCTTACCACTAACCCCTTTCCCAGATCCCGCACAGAGCGGAAACTCTCTACACTGGGTACACCCTTTAGCTTTCATCCTTCGTTTGGTCATGTTGCAACATATATATCACATTAGAATTATTATATATGGCACTAAGGTGATCTGGCAACTTAATTAAACAAGGAGAAGATCGAGGTACTAGTAGTGGACGAATGAGTTCCATTCAACCATATATATTTGGTAGTTGCTAGCTAGTTTAGCATATCTTCTTGAGTGCCAGCCCAATCACAGTTTGTTTCGTGCGCACGTTTCTGCAGTGCCAATGGGGAAGGTCAAGCGGCGGCATAACCGTAACAAGGTCAAGGCCAAGCCGAGGAGCAAGCAGCTATCCGCCAGGCCGACGAGCGTAAATGACCTCCCCGACGAGCTCCTCGATGTGGTCCTCCTCAACCTCGGCTCGCCGCTCCACCTCATCCGTGCTGCGGCCACGTGCAGGCGCTGGCGCCGCGCCATTGCCGACGCGGGCTTCGTGGCTCGCGCCCGCGCCCTGCACGGCACGCCGCCCGTCGCCGGCCGCTACTACGTCACGGACAGGCTACCTCCGGCCGGCGAAGAAACCGACAGCCTTCGTGCCCTCATCGCCGGCCGTCGTCGGAGCGGGCCACTTCTCCCTCGACTTCCTATACGTTCCGCCAGTCGACGGTGATTGTGCACGCACCATGTACTACAACTGTTCCAGCCGTATACGGCATAGCCGGTGCAGGGAGATGATCGACAGCCGCGGCAGCCTCCTCCTCCTGACCAGCGGGCCGTGGTGGGAGTCCATAGACCCCAGGCGCTGGTCGCCTGACTTCATCGTATGCGAGCCCGTGACACGGCGGTATCAGGGGATCGCGCGCCCAGCCGACCTCAGCCACCTCGCATTCTTCCTTCGCGCCTTTCTGCTAGATGGTGGTGGCGCCGGTGTCGCCATGTCCAACTTCAAGGTGCTCTCCGTGCTCTACGAGCGCAGCTGGTCGCGCTACCACTTATGCAAGCCACGGGTCGCTACCAGGAGTAAACAAGCGCTACCATTTAATACACTTTTTTTCTTAATCCTTCTTTCCATCCACATTTTGTTGTTCATCTCTTGATCCAACGATCAAGGATGGCGCCCTAGGCTTGTCGGCCGACCTAGGGCAATCTGTCGATGTCCTTCCCCCCGATGGGGTCCCTCCCAGGCGAGAGCTTTGATGGTTCCCTTACTTAGTTTGCATGAAAACTAGTCGTTCTTCGTCACGCAAGCACGATTGGTTACCGGTTGCTAGTTTGCCCGTACACTAGCTGTTCTTCGTCACAAAAATACGATTGATTATCCTTTGGTGGTTTACTCCTAGACCTCGCCATTCTTCACCACAAAAGAGTGATAGTTATCCGCTGCATTCTTCGGTCCGTGACAACCCAGACGATCTAGGTCTAGCTGGTGTGTGACCGATCTTTGCGTCAACACAATATAATAATGGGTAAACACCACGTTTTACAACTGTAAACAGGTATTCGTGATGTATGAGACTATGATATTAGCTGATCAATGCAAATGTGATAGCATGGTCTTCTAAGGACTATCACATTGTATTTGTAATCTATAGATTTCCCTTCGAAGAAATCGAGGTTCGTTTGAAGCAGCCTGACCTTAAGATTTATGTGTTTTTACAGCCACTACTGGAAGACGTGAAGAAACTTTAGGAAGATATGGGACAAGTACCGAAGGCAGATATTCATGTCAAGAGTCATCATCTTCGTTACCATCAATGATTACCCCAGTTTGTTTTCGCTGTCAGCCAGATCAAATGGGAGACTAGATGTGTCGTATGCTTAGGACATGCTTTGTTCACCTTGACATATCTACAAAGATGGTATACAGGACAATTTCTAGTTAAAAGACACAGGTACCAGTCCAGTTAGTGGTGATATATCACAGGCAGATGGTGATTTATGTTGTCCATATTTTTTTTTGTTTCTCCTCTTTACTCACTGATTCCTTGTCCTCATGAGATCCGAGGTCTCTTATCTCTCTCTAGCAAGCACCGTGTTCCAACGCAGAGACATAGGTACCAGTCCACTTTGTTCCGTGATATAAAAAAAAGCACTGTGTGTCCCATAGCTCAGACAATTTTGTCAAAACTTTAACTTCCATCATTCGTTTGCTCATGCATATTCCAACGCAGAGACATATTTGCTAGTTAAAGGAACAAGATCTAAACGCCTATCATTTTTTTTATCTAGATGTAGATTTTATATCACACCATTTATAACCGTTGTATAAGAATGAGACCCAAATAAGCCTTATGGCATGTTCGGTTACCTTGGAATGGACACCTGAAACGATTCTCAGGCGGAACGATGGTCTAATTTGTATAACATTGATCAGCAGGAATAATTCCTGACCTCGTTCCGCACTTACCGAACAGGCCCTTAGTGGTTGCGAAGTAGGAGTATTTTTTATTTTGGTGGCTGCTTGTTCCGTGTTGGAATTGGGCTAAGATAGGTCCATCCTCCATGTAAAGGCATGCGTGCCGCGCCCTCCAAGTCAGTACCCTTCAATAATTAGCACGGCATATCAGATTCTGATCTTGGCTGTCGTTATAAGAAGAGGTATGGTGATCTGGCAGCTTAACTAAACAAGAAGATCGAGGTAGTAGGTGACGAATGATCGATACTAGAAGAATGGAGCAAGTATATATAAATAGAGGTACACTGCTCGTTAGGTTCTTACTGGAACAGGACCACTCTAGCTAGTTTAGCAGATCTTCTCGAGTGCCAACCAGAGTTTGTTTCGTGCGCACGTTTGTGTGTCAATGGGGAAGGGCAAGCGGCGTAAGAGTAACAAGGTCAAGGCCAAGGCCAATCAGAGGAGCAAGCTGCCCGCCGGGCCGACGAGCGTAAACGACCTCCCCGACGAGCTCCTCGATGCGGTCCTCCTCAACCTCGGCTCGCCGCTCCACCTCATCCGTGCTGCGGCCACGTGCAGGCGCTGGCGCCGCGCCATTGCCGACGCGGGCTTCCTGGCTCGCTCCCGCGCCCTGCACGGCGCGCCGCCCGTCGCCGGCCGCTACTACGTCACGGACAGGCTACCTCCGAACGCGTCGGGACGGTGGGGCCGGCCGGCGAAGAAACCGGCAGCCTTCGTGCCCTCATCGCCGGCCGTCGTCGACGCGGGCCACTTCTCTCTCGACTTCCTATACGTTCCGCCGGTCGACGGTGATCGCGCACGCACCATGTACTACAACTGTTCCAGCCGTATACGGCATAGCGCACGCACCATGTACTACAACTGTTCCATCCGTATACGGCATAGCCGGAGCAGGGAGATCATCGACAGCCGCGGCAGCCTCCTCCTCCTGACCAGCGGGCCGTGGGACCCCTGGCGCTGGTCACCTGACTTCATCGTATGCGAGCCCGTGACACGGAGATATCAGGGCATCGCGCGCCCGGCCGACCTCAGCCACCTCTGGTACCTCAGCGCCTTTCTGCTCGATGGCGGCGGGGCCGGCGACGCCATGTCCAACTTCAGGGTGCTCTCGGTGCTCTATGAGCGCGGCAGGTCACACTACCAATTCTGCGCGCCACGGGCGTGCATGTTTACTCCAGGTAGCGACGGCGGGTGGCGCATTTCTAGGCACACCATGGACGATGGCGTTGAAGTCCCGGACATGCAGACGATCCATTTTGCTGGACGAACCGCCGGGAAGGTCTACTGGGGGATGGAGAGCAGCAGCGTGCTCGTACTCGACGAGAGCACGCTCAAGTTCTCGCTCCTCGCGTTCCCGGCGCCAATGCAGTGGCCGAATCGGAGGACCAGCTTCCGTGTCATTGGTGGCGTGGATGGTGGTGACACGGTGCGCGTCGTGCGCATGGACGGCGTGGACCTCGTGGTGTTCGGTCAGCTCCTGGACTCCGGCGAGTGGGTGATAGAGAGGAGCATCAGTCTGAGGGACGCGACCGCGGAGCTGCCCGGTTGGAAAAACTGGCTCTTTCGGCTGCCGGCGAGTATTGTCACTGCAGACAATACGTTCATGGTGCTGACGCCGGGGGAGAAACCCTGGTTCTTCTCTGTCGACCTGGAGACCATGGAGGTGGAAAACGACGACGTCAGGAACCGGGAAGTCGGGCCATCATCGTACCCGTGCGCGCTGCCATGGCCTCCTGTTCTGCAAGCTTGCGTAAATCATGGTGACGCTACTAGTAAGAAAAGACACACAAGACAATGCCGTAGTCCGTAGGTGCGGCTGGTGGGTGATGGCGTTTCGGGCGCATTGCACGACCTGCATTACCGTTAAATGCAACCGCCTCGAAGGTTGTTGTTGCAATTTGTTTATATACTTGTGTCCTTGTATCCTGTAATCTATATATGTATTGTTGTGTGTTCGCTTCTAGGCAGTGTCATGTGATTTGGGCTCTGTACACTACTTTCAAAATTATTTCAGGAGAAAGACCCTTTAATTAATAGAGCTGGGTATATATTTGCAACCGACTCACGACACTAAAAATGCAAGATGGGGTGTCTGCCTTTGTTAGGATCTACTCCCTCCATCCCAGTAAAAGTATCGTTTCAAGATTTGAATTGTCCCATAGAAAGTGTGGTTCTAGACTATGGGCCCATTACGACACTACTGCACCCAACCACTAGCATGTGCTCCCTACACCATAGCGGCCATTCATATTTGAATTCACTCGCTCCCTCCCACCCACCTCATCCTCTCCATCGCTCTCATGGTCGCATCCTTGCCTGGCGTCGAGGTAGAGGCGGACCCTGATGACGTCAGGTGCTCTCCTATGTCGCCCCCAAGATGCAGCGCCCTCCTACAAATTTGTTTGGGAGGGCTCTAGCTCTGATATAGATTTGTATGTAATTATAAAAAATATCCACGAGGCAAAATGAAGAGACAGGAATCTCCTCCGTCCGCTTCGGCCTCATCCCAGGCAACGGTGGTAGTGCTGGGTAATGCCAGGTGGCGGCGCGACGGCGGTGGCAAGGCAGGGCAATGCGGTGGTGATGCGGCAGGAAGGGCATGCGAGGTCGCAGCAAGACACGCCAGCCATGGTTGCCCCTTCCGCGCAGGTTTGGGGCATGGCGACGGAGCACGCATGGAGCTCGGCCTGGCTGCTTTGTGGCCAAGCACAACGGTGATGATGAGCTCGGGACACGAGGTCAGGACCTCCACTTCTCTGATGTGATCAACAAGGTACAAAGTGCATGTATTTTACCAAATCCCCAATTTGATCATATTATTTCAATTGATACATCTATTAGTGATATTTTTACTAGTAGTGTTAAGAGACTAATAGAGAAAGATATATTACTTGTTGATAATGAAAATAATTCAGATTGTATCGGCCAACATATTATGCCATATCAAGAGGCCGATGACAATATTTTATCAAAGTTAAAGCTTTCCACAAGGTTTACCTTGGATTCTATATTTATGTGGGTCGCTTTACTTGGTTTCAGTTCATACTTGGTCCCAAATGACATACATATTCTGTAATTATTTTGGGTTTAATGATTCGAGACCAAGATTTAAAAATATTGCAGATGTCGATGTTGGTTTTATGAGCAATCTTGAAGCATCTAGCAAGAAAGTCAATTGCAAAGGTGTGGCCGAATGAATCGATGTCAAATCTGATTCATTTGTTTGACAAGCTTTAAAGCCGACTCCACAAAAGAGTTGACTAAAGAAATCAAAGTACATCTTTGACTTTACTTTTTTATGATCATATTTTTAATATTTTGCTAAAGAATAATTTTATTAGAATCATTGATCACAAGGCTTTGCCATCACCTAAAAACTTAGAAGAGCTTATATATTGCAAGTGCATAATTCATTTGATCATAATACTTCTAGTTTAAATATATTTCGTTAAGTGATCCAATCAGCCATTAATAAAGGACGATTGAAATTTCCTTAAGCTTAACAAAATGACCAATTAAATTCAATTGGTCTTGACGACAAACAAACTTTGAACCAGCTAACAGCAGCTGATTCATCTGAAGCTAGAAGCTTGAATGCCAAAAATAGAGATTTGAAGCCCTCAGGTGAAGACAAGATTATTGTCCATGAATTACAAACTGGGGATATTCTAGAAGACAACAAGTTTGTTACTATTCTAGAAGACACAGGGGGCGGACAAAATCTCTCCTGTTGAAACCACTACTAGGAATTTGCACTTTCATGACGAACAACTTACGTCACTAAAGAAGTCAAATTCGTCATAATTTCAGTTTTATGACGAAAAACGGCTTGTCACAAAAGTCGCGTCATACTTGAACTTATATGACGAATCTAAGCAACTCGTCATAGAAGTGGCTTGATCTGTGACGAAAAGCAGACTGTCATAAAACGGTTTTGGCATGCGTGGCAGGGGGCTGCCACGTTGGTGGGTGCTTCCGTTGGAGATGCTTTCCACATGTATATGTTATAGCTAGGTGCATTGGAGATGGTTCGGGTATGTGTCACCTTCTTATTGCACAATGTGGTCATCTCTAGTTCTTGTACATTTTAGGTTGTTACTGGACCACGTGTCGGGTCCCTATTATTTCATATGTCAGTTTTCTATTGACACACATGTCGTGTTGTGGTTGGGTCACATGTCACTTCTTTATTGGACCATGTGTCGTATTTTTACTGGTCCATGTGGCCGTTTCTTATTCTACCACGCGTCATGGTGCTGTCTGTCCATGTTTCATATTTTTATTCGGCCATGTGGCTTGATGACTTCCTTCCATGTGTCGGATTTTTAATAGCTCACGAGTCATGCCATGGCTATTTCATGTGTCATGCACTGGTTCGTCCACGTGTCCCATTGTTTATTTGATCACGTGGCCACTCCTGGTTCTACCGCATGTAGGACAATAATTACATCAGAAAAGTAATTTAAGATCGTCACTACTGCACAGATTGACTACATAATTATTCAACCTGGTAATCAAATACCAACAATTAACATTTCACACATCAACAGCAAGCCACTGACAGAGTATCACCACATCTAACCATCATATGAGTCAACACAACAGACCACAAATGTTCACTATGTCAAGCCACACGAGTTGAAGACTGAGAGTTACCAGAGAGCTTAAGCGCATGACTTGCTCATAGAGCCTATTGTACTCCTCATGTTGCCATTTCTTGAATTCCTCACTGTCTTTAAATTTTTTTTGTCTTTCTCTTCAGTTCATACACTAGTTTGACAAGAGCAGCAGAACTTTCCTGTTCAGCAGCAAACTGTTCCCAAAGCGTTATCTCCACCGATGTCTCTACTCTGGTGAAGCTTGTCTGGATACCAGCATTCTTCAAAAAAAGGTTGTTGCTACTTCTCTAGGAGGGGGCCTTGCCCTGGTGGACGCAGAGGACCTTGTAAACAACATTAGCACTAGTCATTGGTTGCTGCCCATCAGCAATAGGTTCTGCTTGCATAGTATCCAGAGCTTCCTGTGAAATTCAGTCAGTAAAACATTAGGTTACAGATAGTGGAAGAGGACTTCAATTGAAAACCCAAGAGATTAATTCATAACAAGTAATGTATAGGTCTTCCTCAGCCTATGCTAGTAGAGACTACACAAGCACAATGCATAGTTCTTTTGTTTGCCTATTGCCGATAGAGATTACATAAGCACAATGTACATGTACCATATTGATTAGTGTAAAATTGTAACTACAAAATTAAATGATGTTGCCACATTAGGCTCCTGCTTCATTTCACTACTATAGATTGATATATTGTTGTCGCCACTTTTACTACCATAGTGATAGAAGCGATGGTGTGATACTTCCACCATTGATTTGAATGATAGCGAGGCCTTCCAGGAATGAAACTAGTAGTTTAGACTTCTACCACCGATGGGTTAACGATAGATGCGACAGTGCGGTTGCATTTGCTCTGTCACATAAAAAATCAGGCCAACTGGGATACGCATTTTGCCCGCTGGCCCTAAACTAGTGTTTGGTCAACCGGTGGTAAATTCAGCGTGAGTGGTGAATTGCCTGAACTTCCAAGGCCATGAAATCACCATTACTTCCGCTACCTGAAGCCTAAGAGCCGCGTACCCACTGCTCTACATATACTTCAAGCCTGGTGCCCTCTGAAATGATCCCTCTTCTTCATCCATCATCCCCTTCTCTTCCAATCTACAATAAAAATGTCGGACAGCCCCATCAAGTTTCCAAACAGCCCGTCGTCCAGTGAGGATGAATTGCCTTCCCACCACTCCTCCAAGGAGAACGTCTCCTCCGACAACTAGATGTCGTCTGATTATAGTCCTCCGTGGAGCTTAGAGAAGGAGGACCTAGAGGAGGAGGACGAGGAGGATGAGGACGAGAATGACGTCGATGCCAACGCCGACGACGATGACGATGATGACTCTAACTCCAACGACTCTGACTCTGACTTCGACTCGTCTCCTCCCAAGCGAGCGAGGCGAGCATATTTAGATTAAGTAGTTTGTAGTTAGTATAAGTAGTTTTAATAGTTTAGGTTAGTTATTATGCTTCCAGATGAGTACAATCATATACTCGTCCAAATTGTATCTATATGTTAGATATATAAAATGAATCAATGAAAAAAATTCTATTCGCGCAGATTTGATCTCTTCAGGGCCACCTTTTTTATATGAAATGCAAAGCAAGTTCTTTCCAATACTATTTCTAAAATGCCAGTGCACGGATTTGATCTCTCGACGAATGTTTTTTTGTTTTTCTGTATATATATGAATGAATGAAAAGGAAAAAAATTGTTATGTATGGTTGTGGTTGCTTCTAGGAGAATCTAAAAGTAGTTTAACCGCTGACAATCGCCGTATTATAGCGTTGGATTAGCGTTGCAATGGTTGGCTTAATACATACATTGTTTAACATATCTCATGTCATTCGTTCTCACTGCCGATCAATCTGGACTATCTATTTGGCAACAAACCTAGAAGTGCCCAGCCCGTTCCCAACTTCCCTTGGGCCTTGTCGCCGCCTTGGCGGTGGTTCGACCAACTAAAAACTCCAATATGAATCCATTAGTTCTCCCCACTCGTTGTTGCTTCATCTTCATTCTCCCCACCCATTGCTTCATCTTCATTTTGACCCATTGCTTGTACTTGCCTGGCCTCGAGCACCTTCCATTATCGTCGTGGACAACACCCTATGAAGGTTAGATGGATTCGGTCACCCCCCTGTTTGCATTTAGTTCCAATTGGTTTTAGGTTTGGTATCAGTTTAATCATATTAGGAATTTC